AAACGAACGATTCGCGAAACAATGTTTGAGGCCACCAGCTCCAGGAGACCCATCAACTTTTGTCGACTCCTGGAGACAGGAAGTCGTTAACGACGCGTCCGCGTCCGAGACGAAAATCGAAAAGTTACGCTCAGAAAAATTTGAAAAAAATACACTAAGTTAACAATACTCACCAAAGTTAACCGCCAAAATTTCAGGCCCAACGGATCATCCGTTAACGAAAGGCACTCGATGCCAACTGAAGAAGATATTTCCATTCTTCTTGATCCGAACATCTGTCGGATCCATGCCTGATTCCTCCTGATGGATAGCAATAACAATTGCCATTTCCATAAAGCCTTTATGGCTCCTGAAAGAAACAGCAACGGAAAATAGGGCACTGTCGCACTGAGTCTCGCACTTGGTTCACTTGTTGTTCTTTTTCTGCTGACTTTCACAAAAGGATGGAACCTTTTTTTTTATTGTGCGGGGTGAGTTTGTTATCTTAGAAATACATTAACTTACAGAATACCCTTTTTGGAAGTTTCAGAAGAAACCATTTAGAAAGCCTAGAAACGGAAATCATGGAAGCATAGATAATTGCTTCCTTTTCCTTTATGAGAAGATTTGACAACTTCTCATGATTAGTTACAAGAATACCCTTTTTGGAAGTTTCAGAAGAAACCATTTAGAAAGCCTAGAAACGGAAATCATGGAAGCATAGATAATTGCTTCCTTTTCCTTTGTGAGAAGATTTGACAACTTCTCATGATTAGTTACAATAGCCTTCTTTACGGTAATTAGGGTACAATCAATCCTGGACCCCTGGTGAGCTCAACTCTGTGTGAAATCCAGTGATATTCGGATCCCTCGTTCATGTGGCGCATGGTTATTATTACTGAAGTATAACCAGCGCACTCATATTTCACTCAGAGTGATTTCCACATTATTTCCTTTCATGGATTGTGATTTCCGCTATTAAGGTCGCGTCGATTATTTCCTTTGTTCACTCGTCTAGGCTGGCTAGGCTTAAATACCCCTGCTTGGTGAAATCACAAGAGAGATCTCATCCAAGCTTCATACAGTAAACTCCATAGCCAAAGCTCTGTTAAAGCTCAAGCCTATTTAGGATTGTGATTTCCGCTATTAAGGTCGCGTCGATTATTTCCTTTGTTCCCTCATCTAGGCTGGCTAGGCTTAAATACCCCTGCTTGGTGAAATCACAAGAGAGATCTCATCCAAGCTTCATACAGTAAACTCCATAGCCAAAGCTCTGTTAAAGCTCAAGCCTATTTCAAGTAAAGTACAAGCTGGACTTGTGTGTTTGTGCATTTGTATTGTTGTATTGAATGTTTGTATGTGGATGAGAATATTGTATAAAGAGTATTAATCCAGAATAAGAATTTGGTTCTTTTATTCTCGACTCAGTCCTGTAATAGAAAGGACAACAGTACAGTCAACCCTGCACAACTGACTTAATTTGTGCAATAGACTAGTCTGCTATGTAAATTCAATTATTGAAAACTTAAAATTTTTACTTTTTACCATTATTTTTAATCCAACAGAAGTCTGTTAGGGTGGATGTAGTCCATTAGGCTGGAGGAAAAACCACCTCCAGGAGGCAGTCTGTAAGGCAAAAATCCCTTAGACAAAGTCCCTTAGCTTAAGTCCCTTAGGAACTTAAGGAAGTAATGTTCATACTCGGTAACTTTTTTCCCCCAGAAAATTCTGAGATGATGTCAGTACCTGAACTAGTTCAATCATTTGGATCATTTAATGCAACTGCATTCTAAAATTTTGTCCAACCTTGTTGTTCTAATGCTGATTCCAGACAGCTGAAGTTAATCATTCTGCGAAGGAAAGCATTGGTTGACTGGCCATCAAATGAACGTGTCAAATTATATCCAGATTTTTCACTTCCAGGCATATTTTCAGGAATTCTCATTTTGTAAAGCATAGAATCGAAATGTTCATGATTCTGCATTTCTCTGCCAAAAATGTTGTGTTCGCAAAAGGCTTCTTTTATCTGTCTCTCAGCATATCATGAAACATTTTAGCTTGCTGAGTAAATTGATTGAAACGCATGCATCTAAAGATATTCCATAATTCCAAGAAACACTTGAATTCCTGAATCAATGTTTTCAACCTTTTGCTTTGATTCATAACTTGCGTGAAAAGCATTCCTGAATAGTGCGTTATGCGTATCATATACTGTACAGTATTGAATCGATATTGAATTCAAAGGGTTTCAGAATTACTTATTGATTTTGTCGCGTTAATCCCATGAAGTCAAACTTACAAAATCACACAAGCCCTGAAGATTAGACCTAATCTACCTTCTTCCAGAATGGTATATGAAGTGATTTTTAAGTATTTGCGAAGTTGCGAAACATATGTCATCCAAGATGTTAGCAATACTTTTTTGTCGGCAATCATAGTGATAATTTTGTCTCGTGCCTTTTTCACATAACTTCCGACTCGCAGCTTACAGATGAACAAACGCAGAAAAAGACTAATATTTTTATTCATACAGAAAGTTTACCGCTTGAAAAAAAGCGAAAAATAAAAGCCACAAGCTGCGGCGGTGGCTCTTATAATGAATAGAATCCTGTGTATATACAGTATATTTTTAATAGGCACATTTCACAACTTTCCCGCAATTGTAAACCCTATAAATGTCGGGAAAAATTAACAATTTTCCATGACTTAGCATCTGAACCTTGCTCAAGTACCATCTGATATTTTATAACCGTACATATGAATACTACACAATGATTTTACTGAAGGTTGTGTCATCTGTAAATATCAGTGAGAATATAGAAACAGTGTATGCAAAGTAATTTATAAAGAAACTGAGAAGGAGGCAGATGGTACCTCAAGGATGAATTCCAATCTGGTATTTAATTAGATGAAAACTTTAACAGGCAGAAGAAATTATGCCTCAGTATTTTTTAGCACAGCTTTTTGTGAGCAATTCCTATAGAGCTAAAGTATTTAAACTTAGAACATCCTTTCGCGCACACCTGAAAAAAATTGTATTAATGAGATGCTGGATTAGAATATTTAAAAAGAAGATTCAAATTTTAAGCGCAAATAATACTGTGCACGTAAATAAGCCTTCCAAGAATAAGAGCTTTTTTCCTTCTCTCGATGCAAGATATTCACTATCTACGTTCTCCTATCGTTCCTATTTTAATGCATACTTTCCAACACTATGGTTTCTATGAAAAATAAGTTATGCATTTTTTGTATTTAAATGTAAATTAAAAGAGTGCAGCAATTCGCGTATAAATCCTCTGTTATCAATCCTATGCTGTTTTGAGAAGTTTGATTGGTATATGAGTAGGTTTTGGGGTTGAATGGCTGAAAAATTGTCCATTCATTCTCTGAAAAGCTTGAACAATGCTTATAACTTCACTTAACTGAAGGATTTACACAAAAATCGTAGAAACATTGTTTCGTAATGCGGTTAGAGGCGCTTAAACAAACCTCAACCATAACAAGTGCAATCTTGTTAACTAAAAAAAATTGATCCGTTTTGTCAGTTTTCATTTTTCATCAAGAATGAATGGCACAGTAAGACTTTACTTTTCTATTCTTCACTAGCTCTTTTTTAAATTTCATGCGATATGCTCTTCTTCGCCTCTCATCTTGAGTTCCAGTGCAAAACTTGAAAATTTAGATTCCTGTATGTTTGTATTAACACGGGATGTACGAGAACTCGAGGCGTTAAAGAGGGCATGATATTTTTCGAACAGAACATTTCAAAAAGAAAATGAAGTAATGTTTGCCAAAAACCGCTACTACGAGAACCTTTCTCGAGACTTCAAAAAGGATATAATTCTTCTTTCAATGACATCTAATGTTGCTTTTCCTCAATTTTGAATTTCATTTAATTTTTCTCCCTTCCTATCATCGCTGATGGAGCAGCCACGGAGAGCCCTTGAAAAGTGATGCCGCATTGCTGTGTTCCTGATGAAACAGGTAGTCAAGAACCTTTTCCGAGGCTTCAAAAAGGACAAACCCATTTTCAAAACGAGACATTCAAGATTATGGGTGCAGTATTTTGGATAGAAATTAGGGTCAAGATCTGAAGTCATTCAATCCACGGATCCAAGGCACTGAGGGTACTGCACTACGTTACGGGTAAATCGTTGGCCTTGGCTCAGGGGCCAAGTGGCGCCCAGATGAAGTTCCTCGCCTCATCAGCAGCTGCCGACGAACAAAATCCAGGTGGGGACAATGATGAGGAGCCAGCAGAGCATAAAATAAATTTAAAACCGTGGAGAAAGTGATAATGACTGGGGCTGAAGCCAACAGCAGTTGCGCGTTTATTCCCGCACATCATCAGCTTTGCATTTCTCAATTTTTAAAATTACTGTTGGGAAAAATAAGCGTTTTCAATCGATCAACGCATTCAATTCAGCTAAAATACAACACAGCTGACCGCGAAATACGAACGCAATTTTAGCTTGGACCTTGTCCCTATGTAGGATCGTTCACATATGTCAGATTGTGTTTTCCCACAGACTTCAATGCAAGCATATTTAATCGGTTCTCCTGTTAATCAAAATTGGAAATCAAGTCCCCCAAAATTAAATGTGAAAAATTTTCCCCAACTAAAAGAATGCAGATACTAACTGTGCAGAACATCTGATCCTTTGGCATCAAAAGGAGCTCAAAAAGCAAAGAATGAGAATACAGTATGTTTTGCTATAATATGCACAGATGATAAAAAATAACTGAAGAAAAGAAGCACAAAATCAGGATGTTTTGGATTATGAATTATATTACTGTACATTTATAACGGAAATTATTTTCAATTTCTCTAAATATAAATACTGTAGCTCCATTTGTTCAAAATACTGTATCGAGATTAGAAAAGGAATTTTTTTTAAAGAAAACGTTGGCAAAGTTTCCGGAACTCAGCCATTGCTCGGATTTCAGGTCAGATTTTTATTTCAAGTGTCCCTTAGTCGAATCGTGCATGTGTCGGGGGCGTCCACATGTCGAGGTCTCAATTTACTGTATACGTATGCACTGTACAGTATATCTAAAACCTCTTCAAGGCCTCAATAGAGTGTCTAGCTTCCGGACTACGGAATTATCACCTTCCTGTTGACGAAGCGTTTCGCGATCTGATCCCAACCGAATGGGGCTTTTCAAACTGTTGATGATTTCCAGAAACACGTGCGTGTCACTGTCGAGTATGTTGGACTGACTCATTTATCTTCTGTGTTGATAAGAACCATACTATTTTATCGAATGTAATTCCCAA